AACTACAAAGGAAATAAGGCAAATATCCCGAAATAGACCCGGCCAAGCGTGCCGTCACTTGAGCTTGCGCGCCCGCGATAATCAGAGTACGGAAACAAGTCCTAGAGGAGCGCGCCCGCGCAGTCTGAGGATTGTCGTGGCGCGGCGGAATCTTTCGTGGCGCGGCGATTAATGTCGTGTCACGACGGTTGTTGCCGTGTCGCGACGGTTCTTTCCTGCGCGCCCATGCATCTTCCTTGCGTGCCCGCGCTGCTGGAGCAGGGGAATTTCTTTGGGGCGTGCGTGATGTACATGGTGCGCTCCTCATGATCGTCACTAGGCATGGAAATTTTGAAATGAAGTTTATGGTGGGTTCAACACCATGAATTAATGAGAGCGCAAGCATCAAATCTTGGAGTAAGCCATCTCTTGCTTTGTGAGCCATCTCGAAAAATCATCGTGACGGGTCTCGAGCTTTGCCTTTAACCTACAAACAAAGGAAAAGAACAAATAAAAGGGGAAAACACTAGAAAATCCACAAAAGTGGACGAAAACAAAAAATAAGCAAGAATAAGGAAACTAAAGAGAAAATGAATAAAACTAAGCATTTATTAAGGTAGAAAGCTATGAAAAGAAGGTAAAAACAACCTAAAAACTCATCAAATGAGTGCCATAAATGACACTCTTAGCAAACACAGACCAAACCCTACTCCCTCTAGTACGTGTCTTTCTCTCCTCCTTACGCAGGTGGTGTGCACGGTGGTTGTGGTGGTTTGTGGTGGCCGATTGTCCGTAAAGGTGGTGATCGTGGTGTTTCCCCTTCATCCGACCAATTTAGTATTGGTGGACGGCTCATTCGAATCTCGTGGACTAAGTAGAGGAGCAACGCTTGGGGCTTTATTCTCTCCCTAATTGATAGTCAGTCGCATTGTAGAAATCACGTGTCAAAGGTATAAATTATGTGATTCTACATGTGTTATGATTGTATATCCAGTATAAGGGCGAATGAATATGATACGTGAAATACCGCAATATAGTACCTAAAACCCTACATTCTCCAGCCCAGAAAGTCAGTCGGAAACTCCTACCAAGAAATAAAAAAAAAGCCCCACACCACCATCGTTACCAGCCCCCATCGCCACTACGCGCAACCGAACTAACCCACCCCCATTTGTAGCAAATTCCACACACACCTACCACCTTAACCCACCCCACCCCACCCCTCCTAACCTTAACCCACCACCTTAACACACAAACAGACCCAGATTTACTAGCCTAACTCACCCAGCTACCACACCTAGATCTACCAGCCTAACCCACCCAAACCCACCCACCTAAAACCACCCAACTAACCCAGATCTATCACCTAAATCCACCCAAACCAAACCCAGATCTACCAACCTAACCCTAACTATTCCGATCAAAAACCCAACTAAAACCACCCAACACGACCACCCAAAACCACAATCACAACCCAAAAATTAACTAAACGATTTAGAAAAAAAAGAAAGGAAATTATAAACAAGAAAACATATCTTTAAAACTGAATTTGGCTTTGAATGTAACCTCAAATTTGGTTTAATACGGGCCAAATTTGACCATTAAAACTATAGACTCTAAAGTTTTCATGGTCAAATTTGACCTGAAAACTTTTGTTTTGACCATGTAACCCTTTGTTTTGGCCAAATTTCACTTAATATGGTGAAGTGGTGCGAATTTTGACAGAAAAAGAAAGAAAGAAAGAAGAAATAGAAAGAACAAAGAGAGGCGTAATAAGAAAGAATAGAGGAGAAAGAAAGAGAGCAGGAGAAAGAACAGAAGAGAGAAAGAAGAGATGAAAAGTAACACCCTAGAATTCCTTCCCTTTAAAATACCTATTTTGCCCTTTTTATAATAAGAAATAGGAAATTCTAAGACATTACCGCCACTGTAATAACGGCTAAGAAAAATATCAAAGGCACACAGCGGAAGGCTCGTTTGAAAAACCATTCCATACAAACTAGCTTTAAAAGTCAAACTAAACGAAAGTAAACCCAAACCAAAGTCAAATAAAGTCAACCTACAATTTGGACCATTGTAGGCCCTTTCAAAACTTAAACCAAATATTTAAAAACATTGCGTCAGCCTCACAAGCAAATATATATTAATTAAAGCAAATAAAACATATCATATCCTTATAGAAACTAAGCAAGATTCGCTCTTCACTCATGCCCATCATGATGAATATGCTTCATCATCTGAAAAGCTTCTCTTTACTTTGTCCCTACTACTCGCCATTAGAAATGGGTCGTCTCAGGGCCAAGATAAAGATAAAGCAAACAAACATACAAACATTAAATCAGCAATGCTGAGTACATAAGCGTAAATGAACCACACTAGCATGATTGCATCCTAGCATCACACAACTTACCTTGTTGCACCAGTTTACAAGCACACGACATACAATTCAAACAACAGATAATTAAATTTCTTATTTATTTGATTTCGCATCGAACAGAGTTCCCGCCAAATCCCTGCCTTAAATAATTTGGGTAAACTATTCCGAGAGCTAACCGGATAGGCATAGATGTCACATAAAAGTGACGGATGTCCTGTGCATAATAATAAAAGGAAAATACAGCGTCCTGTACTCTTAGTTGAAGCTATGGTGAAATATCAAACCCCATAACTTCCCCTATATGTTCATACTTGAGGTATATACGTTCCAAGAGTTTTGGTGCGTAATCTCTTTCACTTTACGTTGTTTACATATTTTAGACATGGTGATGACTCTCAATCCACAACACAATCAATCAACATAAATCATTCAAGTAATAAAACATTCCAATTCAGTTCTTGAATATTTAGTGATCACATATAATTAAATGTTGAACCCTTTTTAAACTACCTCGATGTTGAAACACCTTAAGCACATAAAGCACTGCAAATCCTATCCCTCGGTATTTAGAACACCTTAAGTGCACTTAGGCATCGCATTTTATTTTATCCCTGTGTACTAAGACACTTAATAGCTCAATTCCCATGCTAATAGCATCAATAAAAATTATATGAACCATAATAAAATTCCCATTTTATATTCCAAACCAAATTAAACATTTAGTTTAATCAAGAAAGCCCTTAAACATGCCAATAATAATAGTATGACTCAATAACAATATTCCAATATCACCTATTCCAATAAATAAATTATTTCAACCAATCATGCTTCATAAATATTTCACCAAAACCATTCCAATTCAATCAATCTAACTCAATCTACCAATTCCAACAAATTCCTAGCATGATACTAATTTATAATCACTAAAATAAATCTTAGCATGCTTCTACACCTTAAATAACATCGAGTAAGCATGCGTACCTCGAATACGATCTCAAAATCGCCACGACTACACGAAATCACTCACTTGGAAGTCTCCTACAACCCACAAATATCAAGAGACATTATACCTATTCATATTAAATTTCCAGCAATATATACACTTTTTAAAAAACTTTTAAACCTTCTAAAACATGCTGAAAATTAATTAAAACCACTTGCTTTTATTCCCAATTAATGGGTAATTAAAATCCTTTCAAGAAAACTTTATTCTAGCCTCTATATAAAAAATCCAGCAATATAAAAACCCTTAAACTTGCTGTAATTTAGTTTAAAAATAATAATTTCAATATTTTTAATCAACCACAATCAAATTCCTTCAATAAACAGCTATTTAAAAACCTAGGGTTTAATCAACTTGGGGCTTTTTCATACAAAATCAAATCTATAAATTATATATGTTAATCATCATTTAAAATGTCCTAAGATCATCACACAACACCCAAAACAATAATTAATCAAAGCTAATTAAATTTTAAAACAAGAAGTTTTTTTTTTGTTCAAAACCCCACACGCACAAGGGAGGGGGAGGACGGTTGCTACCGCCTCCCCGCGGCTATTGATGTTGTCGACGAGTGCTGGCGGCGGTCAACTATGGTGGTGGTGGAGGCAGGCGACCACCTTGGTGGTGTTTGTGGTGGCCTGGTGCATGTGGTGTTAAAAAGGGAAAGGGAATTCAGGAGGGAAATTAAGAGGAGAAAGAGAGAATTTTACCTCTTTGGAATTATCACCTTGGGCAAAAAACAGATTTTTACTTTAGGGTGAGTATTTATACACCTCTCTAAAACCCTCTTCTACTTGAGTTTTCCTATTTGCCCTTAATGATAACCACTTCTACCCAAATTGGTATTTTGATTATAATTTAAATCCTTTTGACTTTAAAACTCCTTTATAATTTAAAACAAGCCCCAAAGTTTATAAATATAGAATAATATGTTTTCAAACCATATAATTAAATAATAAATTGTTTTTTTTAATTAAAGTACACCTTTTTATATATTAAAATACCATAAATAATTCATTTCAAACTATTTAAATATGTCATAAAATAATACTTTAAATTAATATACGTATAAAAATACAGGGTATTACATGAGAGGAGGAGAAGAGCGTGAGAAAGGAGGAAGAGAAAGAAGATAGGAAAGGAGGAGAATAGCGTGAGAAAGGAGGAAAGAGAAAAAAAGAAGAGAGAAAGAGAAGTGAGGAAGCGCCGAAACTAGGGTTAAGGTTGTGTTTATTTTATTTATTTATTTTTTATTATATTAATGGTTTCCGGAAAGCACCTATTTTCCGACGGATTTAATCCATCGGAAATTTCCGACGGATTTTTTGAATTCGTCAAAAATACTTGACGGAATGTAAATCCGTCGGAAATTTTAGTTTTTCCAACGGAATTACGTGTCTGTCGAAAATTGTTCATCGAAAATCGGCTGGTTTCTTGTAGTAGGTAAAGAATGGCCTTGATTTGCCTTGTCTGTTTGGTTGTGTTCTGGAAACAAAGGCCTTGTTTAGTTCAATCACTAGTAGAAAAACATAAATGTGCACCGATTCTTGGAAACCGATGGCCCAAAATACAAATAGCATCGGTTATTCGATGCCCCTTGATTTATTTATTTTTTCTACACTTCTGATACAAAGAGCACCGGTTAATCGGTGCCCCTTTATTTTTATACATTTCTAAAACATGCATTCTTTCCCAATTTAATAACCACGCACTCTCTCAGTCATTCTCCTCTCTCTCTCCTCTCGTTCCCCTTTTCTCTGTCCTTTCTCTCCTCTATCACTGCACTCCACTGCCACTCCTTAGCTTCCTTTCCACCACTCCTTAGCTTCCACCACCACCCCTTTCACCGCCAGTCCACTTTATCTCTCCATTTCTTCTCTCTGTCAGCTCTCGTTCTCCTTCTCCTTCGAAAATCGGCATTAATTTGAACCAAATCCAACCATCATCGCTGCCGCCTATTTCTTAAATCACCAATAATGGAGGTTACGGTTTGTGGGTGCGTTTATTTCTAATCAATTGGATGTTCGTGCTTCTTCAACAACAAATACAAATCAATTTCGAACAAAAAATCAAAAATTTGAGGTTAGGGTTTCTAATTTATTTAGCTTTGCATTATATTTTTGTCGAATTACTTCTAGAATTGCTGATTATATTCGAGAATCTTTTTTCAATTTTGTAATTCAAGTTATTTAGGGTTTTGATTTCAATTAATTTATCAATTTTTTATGGTTAATTTTTTTATTGTATTTGATTCTCGTATTCAACATGCAGTTGAATTTGGGATGTCCATGGAGCTAATTTTGTCAAAGTTGACTAGGAGGCTCTTCGATCTCATCCGTGTTTCCCTTTTTCTCTTTACTCTCGATTTAATTGTTTAATTTCTTGATTTGCTGTTTTTTTTCATTGTTTATTGATTGGATGAAATTGTTGTTTTTTTGGGGGGTTTTAACTTAAATTTTAATTTGGTTAGGGTTAATGTTATGGAAGATTTGAAATTGTTGTGTTGTGGAAAATTTCTGATTTGGATATTGAAATTTGACTGTGGTGGATATTGGATTATGAGCCAGCAATTTCAGTCTTGTGATTTGCCTAATTCTCGTATTCAACCTGATCGTCATTGGTTTGGTACGTTTTTTCTTACGAAATTGATGTTATTTTATATGCAAATTTGATATAATTTCAATAATTATTGAATTATTAAGTTTGGGGATTTGGAAAAATTGAACCGAAGTATTTGATTGAACGTGAAATTTGTCAAATTGCATAGTTGATGATTAAATTGGTTGATATAGTAGTTTTGGGGTTTAAAATCAGATTACACAACTCAGTTTTATTGCGATTGATCTAGGGTTTTGTTAATTTGTTTCAATAATTGCGATTGATCTAGGATTTTGTTAATTTAAGCTTTTGGAATTGTGAATATAAAGAATATTTGAATTATGGGTACATGAAGTATTTGACTTGTGAGTATACATAGTACTTGATACTAGAATCTTGAATTTCAGTAGTTTGATTTGTTGATGTATTGTGAATATTGTATTGGTTGTCATTTAATTTGATTTTTTAGGTATATATTTTTTTGGGTATATTTTGATTGATTTCTTGATTGTGGTATGGGTATATTTTGATCAGTTTTGGGTTTCTTTTGATTGAAAATGCAAATTAAATCTCATTTGATAGTGGATAATGGTGGATTATTTCATTATATTTTCTTTCTAGTTTGTCTTCTTATATTGCCTTATTGTACCATAATTTTTGAGTTCCTTCACAAGAATAGCTTGATTTTCTAAGTTGTGTTTTTGCGTTTAGAGAAGGACTTGAAGCTAGAACCTGTTGGCCTGCTTCCCTGCAGTGCACCCCTGCCGCTGCTACTTTTGCTCTGATGTAGCTACTGCTTTTGCTCTACCGAGATTAGGGGTAGGTGTGGCTTTAAGCCTATGTTTTTATATTAATTTATACTTGTTACTTGCAACTATGGCTTTAATATCTTCTGGAAATGATGACTTTGTTTGGGAGTATTCTTGCTGAAGCCATTGACAAGATTGGGGCTGATGGTGTTATCTCTATTGAGTCGTACTCAACCTCTGAAACTTACATAATTGTTAAAAAGGGAATGAAGGTCTGTGCTGCTTTTGTATTTTACTGCCATAAATAAAAAATGTTCTATGCACTAGTTTCATTAGAGGGGTGATAAACTGATAACTGGCTGTTTGTACTCTGTAGCTCTCTCTCTCTCTCTCTCTCTCTATCTCTATCTCTCTCTCTCTCGTTTTGAAGGATATAGTTGCATACATTGAGTCATCCTTGAACTTGGTTTGATTGGAAATCAACCAAATAATTATTTCTTTTGAGCTTATAATATGGATCAAGCACAAATTTAATTGTTTTCTGGTTCATTGGAATGTAACTTTTATCATGTACTTGATCCCTTGATTTTTTTTTTTTTTGGTTATGAAATTATGTGAACTTATTAGAGTATGTTTTTATTCTCAGGGAACTATACAGTAACAATATCAGGAGGCCAATACTTAGTGAGCTGGGCAATCTGACAAATTTGGTCAGTTTGGATCTTTATTTAAACAGTTTCATCGGTTCTATTCCGCCATTCTGGAGTCTTTGGGCAAGCTATCGAAGTTATGCTTTTTGTATGTATACTAATCCCTTGCTTGACTAATTTATAGAAGGACTATACTTTATTTGCCTTTAACATTTGCATTGAAATGTACGTGTGTTGAGGGCCTTTAACATTTGCATTGAAATGTACGTGTGTTGAATGTATGCATGGCCTTATGTGGTCCTATGCTATATTTCTGGCTTTCTGCTAGTTGTTAATGCCAGAATGCAAGTTGATATGACTTTCACGGCTGCTCTTGAATAATTGATTATGCCTAGCTATGGAATATTGACTAAGTGTAGGAAAAGGGGTTCTCTTAATGCTTGTTTATGACTTCTTAATATGTTTTTAGTGTGTGTATTGAGAGGGTATTTTGATGTTTGTTTGTTTGTGTTGTTGTTGTTGTAGAATCTATAGACTGATTTTATCTGCGATTTTTATTTGATAATTGTTTTTATTTCGTGATTTGGGTTTATTCTTTTGATTTGGGTTTGTGTTATGTTTTATGTTGATTTACTTATTGTTATGATGAAAAGGTTGGTTAGTAATGTGGGATTTTTTTGTAAAATTTGACAGGTTACATATGGATCTGTAATCAAATTGGTGCATGAAATAACAGAATTCAGGCTGCATTTAGGTTGCTCTATTTCCTAATATGGACGCTGCATTCTCTTTAGTGCTGCTGCTTCGGTACTGCTGTTGTTTAGCTACTATGATGCTATTGTTTTGCTACTGGGCTGCTGCTATATATTTTTTTTTCTTTTTTTTTTCAAGTGTAATATTACAGGTTATTAATAAAAATTATTAGTTTCAAGTATATTATGTATATCTATAACAGTCTGGTGCAAATGTTTTACATTTTTCGCATCCCTCAATTCTAGACCGGTTAAAAACCGGTGCGAATGGGGGGTTTTGAGCCGGTGCGCATTTGTGTTTTAATACTAGTGAACGTATTTTTACTTATTCTAGAAAAAATAAGTTCAGATCAAATCAGATTAGAAAAAAATAAGTTCAGAACAGATCATCATTTTATGTGCGTTTTATTATCGCTAAATATCTTTAATTAAATAATAAAAAAATATAAAAATTAAATATTAACAAAATACATAATAATACGAATCTAACAAGACCCCATTTGATATATTTATTCTTCATAGATTATCGTACATATAAGGTCAAAATTTGGTCAAATAAAACAATCAGATGAGATCAGATCAGCAAAAATAAAGTGAACTAAACAATCCCAAAATAAATTGTTTTAACGGAAAACAACTTTTCCTGAATATGATTCTTTATGGAAAATAATTTACAAGGGAAAACACAATTGTATAAGTAGTTTAACTTTATTAGTTTCTTAACAAGAAAAATTATATAGGAACACCACAAGAAATAGGCTTATTTCCGACGGAATATTCCGTCAGAATTTTCTTAAATAATAAAAAAAAATAAAAACCCTAAACCCACCCCCATCTCTCCGCCTCTCTTCTCCTTTTTTTTCTTTCTTACAGCAACCCGCCTCTCTTCTTCTCTTTCTCTCTCCTCTCATTCTCCTTCTCCTCTCATTCTCCTTCTCTCCTCTTCTTCCTCATTCCTTTCTCCTTCTCCTCTTTCTATTCATCAACATCAACAATCGCAACAATAACAACCGGAACAACAACAACAACAACCGGAACAACAACAACCGCAACAGCCACCGCCGCTCAACAACAACAACCACCGCCGCTCAACAACGCCTACAAGGTCGGAAATATATGTAGATCTAGGTTTGTTTTTTAGAAATTTATGATTATAATGATTTTTATGATGAAATTGTAATATAAGTTTTTAAATTTTGTAATTTAAGTTTGTAATTTTGCGGATTTTCGGACATATAATACATAAATTGTTTATTTCGATTTTTGTGGTTTTTGTTCCGATTTGGTGGTCTCAATTTTGTTTGATTGGTTTTGTGGTTTCGATTATTTGGTTTTTTTCGGTTTTTTTTTAAGTTTTTGGTTTCGATTTTGTGGTTTTTGTGGGTTGTGGGGGTGGAGATATGGTGGTTGTGGGGGTGGCGAGGTGGAGATAGGGTGGGTGTGGGTGGTGTAAGGTTCGTGGTGTGTGGGTTATTTGGTGATTATGGGTTGGGTGGATCTGGGCAGGGTGGTCTAGGCAGGGTAGGGTGGGGTGGTCTGGGTGGTGGGTCTGGGTCAGGGTGGGTGGATCTAGGCAGGGTTGGGTGGGGTGGTCTGGATGGTGGGTCAGGGTCAGGGTAGGGTAGGGTAGGGCAGGGTGGCGTGGTGTGGTTTGGGCAAGGTGGCGTGGGGTGGTCTGGGGAGGGTGGTCTGGTGGTCTGGGCAGGGTAGGGTGGTTGGGGTGGTGGTCGGTTTTTTTTTTTTTATTGCTATTTCCGACGGAATTTCCGTCGGAAATTTTCGGCGGATTTGTATTCCGTCGGAAATTTCCGACGGACTTTCCGGTGGCCGGAACTGTCCTTCCTACGAGGGAATTCCGTCGGAAAACACTGTTCCGACGGAATTTCCGACGGAAAACGCCATTTTTCCTACAAAAGGTCTTCCGACACCACGTTCCGACGGAAACAGTGTTTTCCGACGGAATTCACGGTGTTTCCAACGGAATTTTTCCGTCGAAAATGGCCTGTTTTCTAGTAGTGGAAGGGGAACAATGGAAAATAGGAGTGAAAGGGAGAAGATGGATTAGTGGAGAGGTAAAGAATGTAAGGAAGGTAAATATTTTCTACTCTTGAGAGAAATATTGTTCCTCCTTTAGGAAAATTGTTTTCCATCCCTCTATTAACCAAACAATGAAAAAATCGTTTTCTACAAATAAGGTTTTCGTTAAAACAAACGGAGCCTTATTCTATTTGTGATTGTTTGGTTCAAACCAGGGAATCAAACTATAATTTTAAAAGGAAAATTTGACAAGAATATTATCACCTTTGCCTGGTCCGCCATAAATAAAACCACCTTTCGATAATCCCCTAATAAAACAACCTTTACACATGATCTTCCGTTAATGGGAAAAACCAGTTGGTAACCTATTTAATGAGTCATTATGACACGTGTCACTTTGTAATTGGTTAATTAATTAATTAATTTTTTTTTACAATTTTCTTATTTATTAAAAATTGATTTTATTAAAAAAAAAATTGATTTTAATTTACAAAAAAAAAAAAAAAAATCCCCATTCTTGTGAACCCTTATTCCGGTGAATCTGGTGGTTGGGTCTGGGCGATGGCCTGGTGGGCGGGTCTGGGCAATGGAGAGAGAGGTGGCGAGTTTGGGCTGCGAAGGAGAGGGAGAGGTTGCGGGTTTCTTGCGGTGCTGTTGGACGATTTTGCGTGTTGCGAAGGAGAGGGAGAGGTTACGGTTGCTTGCAAAGGAGAATAGGGGTTGCGAGTTGGTTGCGGTTCTTGGAGGGGTTGGTTCCGGTGCTTGGAGGGGTTGATTGCGGGTTGCCTGCGAAGGAGAGCAGGGGTTGCTTGCGAGTTGATGCCGAATTTTGGAGGGGAAGGTGGTGTGTGTGGCTGCCGGTGCTTGGTGCTTGGAGGGGAAGGATTTTTTTTTTAGATTAAATTTTCTATAAATTAATTATTTTTTTAAAATGAAACTAGTCTTAAATCCATGCGATGCACGACTGTTTAATGTGTTATAATAATTGTTTTTGTATTTGTATTTTTGCTTAGTATTTCAATTTCATATAAGAATAGTACTCGGTAAAAAATATTTTAATAGTACTGTTAAATAAGAACACCGTATTTTAAAAGAACAATTAAATAAAAAAGTATTTTAAAAGTAAAACATAGTTAAAAGTCTATGAAAACTTTTACCAAAAAAAAAATAAAAAAATAAATAAAAATTAAACATATGTCATATTGTGAAAAACTGTCGTTTAGTCGAACTTGCAAATTTTATTTTTCAATATTAATATTCTTTAACTTCTCTAATTATTAGTATTCTATAATATGCACTGCATATATGTAAGGTTTCCTTAACTTTCTTTTTCTTCTGCCATATGCAATAGTGTGACTTATAAGGGCAGATAAGTTTTGAGCCTCTAACTATACCATTCTTCTGCCATAGATATGTAATATCAACTATGCATGCAAAAAAAACAAAAAAAAAAAAAAAAAAAAAAAAAAAACCATGTATTCCCCGGTACAATATACATAAGAGGGCTACAAATTAAAATTTTCCAAGTTATTAAAATTGCATTATACACCAAATTGAACAAAAAGGTTCACCTAAACATAATTTGCAGCCCGCTTTAATCTTCACTTTCACTGTTGACCCACAATCACCTTTGTGCAAATTAAAAATAACAATTTTGTTAAATTTGAAAAGCAAATTTATCATACATAAATAACATAAATGAAACTTAAAATATGAATACATATATAATGGAATGAAAAGTAGAAAGGAACTTACTATTTTCAATAGGGTGATAGGTCCATGAACAATTAACTTCCCTTTATAAAAAAAACACTAATCTTTCATAAATAAAAAAAAACACTAATTTGGGTTTTAGCATCCTGTATTTACATTTTTAAAACGAACTGAAGTGACACCTTTGTAAGTTAGAGAACACTTTTTTCGCACAAATTTTATAAAGTTAGTTTGAAAATTAAGGTATTAGTAAAGGCATGATCAATTTTCATGTATAAAGTTAGTTTGAAAATTAAGGTATTTGTAAAGACATTAGATTTATTTTTATTTTTTTTGTTAAATATTTTTTTAATCAGAAAAAACAGGAAGTGGACACGTGTCCTTCTAACTTCCTGTTTTATAATAGTATAGATATGTTAAAATTGAAATAAAAAAATCAGCCTAATCATAATGTGATACATGTCCGTCTTTAACCTATTAAACAAGTTATCGGTTTTTTATCCTATTTTTGGAAGATCATTTACAAAGATCGTTTTAGTGGGGGATTATCAAAAGGTGGTTTTATTTATGGCGGGAGGCAAAGGTCATAATATTTCTGTTAATTTTTCCCCTTTTAAAATAATAACCTGTTATTATATAATAATAAACCTGTCTCAATTATATATTCATGTAATATGAAAATAATATTAAAAATAATTTAATCCAAAATTAAAAATATAAAAACCCAATGATTATAAATCGAAAATAACATCTTTCTAGCTCCATTGATCACAAATACGAAATACCACCTCTTGGCAAAAATAATAGCACAAATTAAGAGCACAAAATACATTTTTCTAAATAAAGCTCATACCAAAAGAAGTTCTAACAAAAGATGCGATGCACCCCATCACCAACACCAATAGTTCCTACATAAGCTTCATCCCATAAGAAGTAGTTTGTAAAAATACCTACATGAAAACCATACATGAAGCAACAACATAAGACTTAAGCATTACCATTACTGCCTCCCCCAATAAGACTCTTAACATAAATGCTTTTCAAAGTGTCCATACACTTTGAAAAAATCATGAACATCTTTGGTTGTGCAATTAGAATGTTGGTCACTTCAGAAACTAAGGTAGGAGTGACACCTTCTAATTAAAAGAGAATACTTATGGCCTCTATCACTTGTTCACTCTTCTCGAATAATTTTTGTTATCTTTCCTCCGCACGTTGCTCACAATCATCAATGATAAGCATTCATATCTTTCATGAATGTTTGAAAGGCCTTATTCACTTCAACTTAAAAAAAATAATATTCAATTCAGTAAAAATCAATAATTTCAAAGAAGAAATATAATAGAAAATAAGTAAAAAGTAATTTCAGTTTAATAAAAATAGTTTTAAGTTCAGCAGAAATAATTTCATTTCAGTTAAAATAAGGTAAAGTGAACTTAAAATTATTAGATTTTCTGGCACCATCATTTCTCTATTACTTCTTTTGGAAG